GGCTGGAGCACCGCTGCGCCGCCGCCTTCGGCGAGTGGGAGCTGGCGGCGGCCAAGGCGGACGGCTGGCTGCGGGCCCAGCACCTGCCCGACGGCCTGGACGTGGCGGCGCTCAAGGCGGCGGCCCGGGGGCTCTTCCTGCTGCTGCGCCACTGGGACCAGAACCTACAGCTGCACCTGCTGTGCTACAGCCCATCCAACGTGTGAGGGCCACCCCGCGGACTCCCGACAGACACTGCCACCCGGCTGGCTTCCGGGCTCTGGGAAGGGGTGGGGGTGGGGGGTGGCCGCCGCTGTGGCCCAGCACGAACTGCTTCTCCTCCCTTCCCAGACTCTCCCCAGCCCACAAAGTGCCTGCCTGTGCTCTCTCCTGCTCCTCCCATCCAGTGTATTACACACACACACACACACACACACACACACACACAATCTGCTCCAGCAGGGCAGCAAGGGGAGAGAGCCACAGCCCCAGATCCTATGCAATAAAGTGCCTCTCTAGACAGCCGACAGACGGAGCTCTCTATCTGGCCTGGTGCACACCGCTAGGCCGAGGTGGGGGGCCGCCACCAGCTGCCCATCCCTTGGGTAGGCTGCACAGAGGTGGCCGTGCAAGATTTATTGGAAGGGCAGAGTCCGTCTCCCCAGGGTCTTCAGTGGTCGAGGGCACAGGGTGGGCTTCAGTGGGCTTTCTTGCTGTGCTGCGTGCTCTCGGGGAAGGGCTGAGGCCCCAGCCAGAGCTGCAGCAGGATGACGGCGTGGCACATGTGCAGGGCTGCTGAGCTGCAGGACGTGGATGGGTACGTGTTCCACGAGAGCTCGATGAGCCCCAGCACCAGCAGCCTTGGGGAGAGAAGCAGGCACCGGCTGCTGCCCAGTTCTGGAGTCTGCAGTCCTTTGGTTCCTCGAACCCTGGGCACATCCCTCCCCCAAGTCCAAGCCCCCTAGCCCTTCCCACTCCCCAGGGTGGTCAAGCTGTACCTGAATAGGTGTGTGAGCCAGCGAGCAGGCATGGCCCACAGGAGGTAGGGCAGTGTGTGGAAGTACCAGACGTAGAACTGGTAGTGGAGGGAGCGGCTGAAGCAGATGCCAATAAAATTGGAGGTGAAGAGAGTGGAAACGATCTGTAGGTGGTGGTCAAGGCCAAGGGCAGGAGCAGAGGACAAGATGGGAGGGGGACTGTTCCAGAGCAGAAAGGCAGAAGTTCTGGGGAGAGCCCCCGGGCTCTGCCCTCCTTATTTGCATGCCTTTAGGCAAGTTTCCTAACCTCTGGTCCAGCTCCTGAATCTAATGAGATAGTAAAACCAGGGGTCGTTCTGGCTGTGTGACCTTGGCCAGTTATTTAAGCTCTAACGACTTCATTTTGCCATCTATAAGGTGAAAATAAGGATGCTCTCCTCATCTCAGAGTTTGAAATGTTCGAGTGTATATGCGATAGAGTTCATCACTCCGGCATGAAGAGATATGGAAGCCTGATACATGCTACAACTGGATGAGCCCTGACCACATGATTTCAGCTGAGTGGAAGAATCAGTCACACAATGGCAGAGTGAACTCTTGGATAAACAAGTGCATAGAGAACGGAGCTCATCAGTGGTTACTGGGGCGGACAGGCGGGCCGGAGAAAGGCCTCGCTCCTGAAAGGACCCGGAGCTGCTGCTACGGGTGATGATGTGGCTTGGGAACAGATAGAGCAGAGGGGGAACAACACGATGAACATAATGTCCATGTGGAGATGGTTGAAATGTCCTGTGTTTTGATATCTATTTATTTACCACACTGTTAATTTTTTGTTTGTTTAAAATTATATGATGTGCATCTCTCAGGATAGAACATAGGAGAGAATGAGCACCCAGTAATGGTAGCTGTTAGTGGTCCCTAGTGGTAGCTTAAGACACACTGGTGGCATAATGGTACAGAGTTGGGCTATAATCAACAAGGTCTGCAGTTCGAAACCACCAGCCATCCTGAGGGAGAAAGATGGAGTTTTCTGCCCCTGTCAACAATTAGTCTTGGAACTCTGAGGGCCAGTTCTACCCTGTGCTATAGGGTTGCGATGAGTCAGTCAATTCGGTTTGATGGTTTGGGTAGCTTATTAGTCTGTGGGATCTTTAGGAGTAAGAATAAAATATGGGACGCACTCAGCAGTGCTTGCTGCAGAGCGGGTGCTCTATGGATACGGCTGGAGCTATTAACAGGACCTCTGCCCAGGGTCTGGGCTGTCTGGGCTGCACTCACCAGGGCCCAGTCTTTGCACCCGGAGAGGCAAAGCTTACCTTCCCACGATGCAAAGGATATGATTGGAAGTGAGGGGTTGGGGAGGGACCTTCCTTTTGGAGGGGTCCTTCAGCAGCGACAGGATACTTTCCCCGGTCCTGAGGAGAAGCCATTTAGACAGTTAGCAAGCCCCTCTGGTGGACTCAGCCCCAGGGGCTCCACATCTCCACTAAACAGCCCCTTTTCTCCTTCTCAAATCTGCCCAAAGCCCTGCCCGCTTCTTACCTGTGCCACCTGCAGAGGGCAAAGAGCAGGAGCAGGAGGAGGTGCGCAGCCAGCAGGACCAAGTGGAAGGCTCGGTGCAGGAAGAGGGGCTCGGGAAGGAAGCGCCAATTTACTGTCCAACGGAAGAGAAACTGGCGGCCGAGGTCAAAGGAACGGGACAAGTAGCCAACGGGGTTTTCCAACAGGAAGGGCAGCCCCAGGATCACCTGAGGGGGAGGGTGGGGTCAGCGGAGTTGTCCAGGCAAAGCTGGCCCCAATCTCTGAGGGAAGTAGGGTCCAGGCTGCAGAGGCTCTCTACTCCCCACCAGGAATGGCAAGAAAGCCAACACTGCCCCACCACCCCTGCCCAAGGCCAGAGCTTGGGTCCAGAGAAGCTGAGGAGGCAGGTAAAAAGCATGCTTTACATGTGGCTTCGAGTCATAACTGGACGGAACGAGAATGGCCCTCAGAGACCTCTAGCTCAACGTCCTCCTTTTATAGCCAAGGAAACCGATCAGCCCCAAACCCCTGTCTCAGGGATGGGGGAAGGAGGCCGTTTGAAAGGGCACAGGACCAAGTGGGAGTACCTGAAGGGCAGCACACAGGCTCAGCTTGGGTAGGGCCCCACGGAGGCCAAACTGCGTGAGGAGAAGGAACAGAAGGCCGGGAGCAAAGAGCAGCACGTTCATCTTCACGGAGACAGCGAGGCTGGAAAGGGCCAAGGAGAGGAGGCAGGAAGGTCAGTTCCAGGCTCTGCACCCAACCCAGAGATGCCCTGTCCCCACAGCAACCACCTCCACCCTCCGCAAATTCCAGGGTGGGGCCGACATTCAGAACTGCTTGGGATCAGGGAAGAGAAGGGGGCAGGGGCATCCGATATCTGGTTTCTGTATTCAGCACTTAGTACATGCAAGGCCATAGCCAACAGAGGAGGCCATCTGGAGGTCAGGGAGAGGTACCAGTGTGAGCATTACAGGGTGGCTTTCGATAGATCCCGACTGACCAATATTGGCCATTCCCTTCCCCTGTGTGCTGCAGAGCACTGGGGGGAGAGATGGCAATACACAGACAAGAGGGGGCCAGAAGGCAGGGACTGTGACCTGAAACAGCAGCAGCCCCAGCCCCAGCGCTGGGCCAGCAGGAGGTTGATGCTGAGAAAGAGCAGCGCCATAGCCACAGGGTCATTGAACAGCCTCAGCACAAATATGGAGTGCACACGGTACGAGGCGCAGCACATGAAGAAAAACACGAAGGGAGGAACCTGGGGGTAGGCACAAAGGGACCGTCAGTTCCCTGGGCCTGAGCCTCCCACTCCCCAGTGGGCCCCCTGGACCCTGGTGGGATGGACTCACTTTGCAGGTCTGGTGGTAGATCCAGAAGACAAGCAGCAGGGTGGCCAGGTAGAGCACAGCGAAGATGTGCTGGGCCACATGGATGTCCGTGCCCCGGTCAGTAGCATGGTACAGCCCCATGAAGATGTACACAAAGCCAGCCGGGTACCTAGAAGGGGAGAGTGAATAGGAGCCGAGGTCGAGCAATCCCCTCTGCACCACCAGGCCTCTTTCTCCAGGTCCTCTCCAAACGGCCCACCCACACTCACACAAGAGGTCCAGTGTCACCCTGCAGTTGTGTGTAGTCATAGGTACCATTGATGACACCCTCCACCTCAGCCATGTAGGCCTTCCAGTCGATCTCTGTGTCTGGAAATAAGATGGGGGGCCGTCTGGTTACTTCAAACACCAGCAGTTGGGTGTCCCTGTACCTCCAGTCTATCCCGGCAAAATGCTAGCTCACTCTCAGGGCCTCCATCACATCCTCAACCCAGCTCTCTTTGTGGGTTTCCCAACCACACCTCTCTGGGGGACGCACAGGCATCTGGAGCTCAAGATGCCTATAACTGAGCTCATTAAGACCTTTCCTCCCAGCCCTACTCCCCTTCCTGAGACCCACGCAAGGCATCATCATCCACCCAGCTGCCCAGGTCACACACCTGGGTAACATCTTTGATACTTTCTTCTCCCCCATATCTAATTCCCAGGCACCGAGTCCTACTGGTTCCTTATCAAAATACCTCATCTTTCTCTGGCACAGACTCAAAAGATTCAAGGCTAACATGTTAGCTAGAGTCTACAGAGCAATCGCTTAATTAGGGGAAAGGACACAGCAATACGGTCGCACCTTACTCCCCTTTCGCACCACTACAATTTTTCTTATGCCTGTAGTGTAGTCCAATGCTTTTTCTAAAATACAAATCAGATGAAATCTCTCTGCTTCAGACCCTTCAAAAATTCAAGACCAAACTCTTATACCCATTTTTATGGAAGGAACTTAACTTATTTCTGCGACTCATCTCTCACTACCACCCTTACTTGATTCTATATTCCAGCCCTAAGGGAAAAAAAAACAAAAACACAGGCTATCTTTTAACTGGAGGTTTGTTTAAAAAGAATTCCTTCATCTAGAGCAGCCGTTCTCAACCTGTGGGTCGCAACCCCTTTGGGGGTCGAACAACCCTTTCACAGGGGTCGCCGGATTCATAACAGTAACAAAATTACAGTGATGAAGTAGCAACGAAAATAATTTTAGGGTTGGGGGTCACTGCAACATGAGGAACTGTATTAAAGGGTCTCGGCATAGAAAGGTTGAGAACCACTGATCTAGAGCAATCTTCTCCTTTTGCAACCTGCTAGCTCCTGACTTTCAAGGGGGTGGGGGTGCCTCTAGGAAGCTTCCCCCATTCCTCAGGCTTGACTTAAATGCTTCTGCTGCCATAGTGGTTACACGTTGGGTTGTTAACCACAAAGTCAACAGTTCGAAACAACCAGCTGCTCTGCGGAAGAAAGAGGAAGCTTTCTACTCCCTCAGAGTTACCATCTTGGATGCCCACAGGGGCAGTGCTACCCTGTCCTAGAGGGGTGCTCTGAGTCAGAGCAGACTCGATGGCATCGAGACATCCGTTATAGCACTCTTTCCACTGCCAATGGTGAATAAGATGCACTGTAATTGCCTGCTAACTATGTCAAGGACTAGATATCTCATTCACCACTGTATACCTCTAGCACTGTTAAGTATATAAATAAGAGTTGAGTTAATTTCTTATCAAGAAAAGTAGGTGCTTTAATCCGTGTCTCGATTCAACCTGGAAAGAAAGTCACCAATAGACTCAAATGGTCATGAACAGCCAGAGTTGAGAAGGGGCTTTTGAGGCCACAGAATTAAGCGGATGAGAAAGTTGAGATTCAGACGGGGACGTGACTTGCTCAAAGCCACAGAACGGGCAGGAGCAGCAGTACATCCATTTCAACGCGGTCTTCTGATTTTCCAGGCTGTTTTTCCAAGCCCTAACAGAGGGTTCAACGCCAGGACCCGCCCTCGGTTGCGGAGGCAGAATTCAGACAGGGCTTGGTTTCTGTCTAACAGACTTAGGACTGGGGAGAAAGATCCGAGGCTGCAGTCGACGAATGAATGGGTCTGGGACCCAGTTTGGGTGTCCCCTCCCACTCCTGCCCGCCCTCTCCCCCCGGCGCACTCACATGCCACCCTGTGAATGACCCAGAAGGTGATGCCCACCTCCGCTAGGCAGAGGCAGGCGGCCACCAGCAGCGTGTAGCGAGGCTCCACCAGCAGCAGGCGCCGCTCTTGCCAGGCCCGCCGCAGCCATTGCTCGCAGCGACCTGCTGCCCGGGCCGCGGCGCCAGCCCCAGCGCGGCCGCGTTTCCGCAGCCCAGCCGCCATCTTGATGGTGCGCCCGCAGGCGGGTCCGCCATCCAGGAAACCACCGTGGAGCACTTAGGTTCCGCTCGCGGACCAGCCTCTCGCCGCCCGCAGCGCCAACCACCTGAGCGGTCAGTCATATTTGCGCCGTTAGAGTTTCTTTCTTCCACATGGTCCTCCTGACGGGCTGTATGCTCTGTGGGAGCAAGAACCAAGTCTCATTAGCCACTATACACCCAGCTCGTGTAGGGGAGTAAACGTTCGCCCAAACCAAAGCCACGCTGCTCCCCTTCACACTTGGCCTCCCTGGGCCATACACCTCCACGAGGGTCTTTGCTGGAGGGCGAGGCCCGTGCCTGCGTCCCTCTCTTCCTGCCTTAGGAGATCCAGGCGCTCAAGATGGTGTGGGAAGCAGTGAATCTTTCACTAGTTTTCAGCCTTTTAGCAGAAAAAAGCAAACAAAATAAGAAGCAAGGGCAGCGAGTCCGACACCAAGCGTGTGGGCCTCCGGTGAACCAGCCATGTAGAAACCGGATCCTCTCGTTTTCCGAGCCGGAGGATTCTTCCCAGAGCGCGTCCTAAAGGCCGGAAGTTCCACGTGTTTGTGTTGAGCAACTGCAGGTGGTTGGGGGTGGGGGGAGAGGGGTGGGGAGGTGGAAGACCGAGGCCCCGCCCCCAAGCGCTGACATCTTGATTGGCTACTTTGGAGCGCTAAGCCCCGCCCAAGGGCGTGGCCAGCTTCTCGGCTGGCCTTGTCGGCCCCGCCACTGGCAGCATGGCTTCTTCCGCGGCGCCGCCGTCCCTGCCCGAGTTACCGGAACAGAACGGCGGGTACTGCGAGGTCCAGTACTGGGATCAGCGCTACCAGGATGCTGCCGACTGCGCTCCCTACGAGTGGTTCGGAGACTTTTCCTCCTTCCGCGCCATTGTGGAGCCGGAGCTGCGGCCAGAGGATAGGATCCTCGTGCTAGGTGGGTAGTTCCCCAGTGGAGCAGGCTGGAGCAAGCCCCTCCACACCCCACGCCTGGCCCGGGCCTCCTTCCTTCAGTGGGTCCCAGCCCAACCAAGATCCGGCACCTGCACTTGGTCGGATTTAGCCGGGACCAACAGGAACCAAGAGATTCCCAATCCCGGGCGCCGTGGAGAAACCCAGGATCTCAGTGTGTGCCGCCGGACTTTGTTCTGGACCTCCGGGAGGCAGCCTTGAGCGCTGGAGAGCTTGGGGGACCTGGTTCAAGTCCCAACGCTAGGTGGCTGTGTGACAGGACGTGTGCACCTGTTCTCGGCGTCCGAGAAATGGCACTGTGAGCTCCAGTAAGGCACACACCTCTAGCACAAAACCCAGAGGATATGTGTGTGTGTGTCCACGGGAACCAAGTGCCATTGGCACTTAGCGATGTCTAGCATCTCAGCATCTTCTGGACCTGTCACTTGGTCCCACGTCCCCTGTGCTGAGGGGGCTGAGCAGCGCCTCCTGTGACCAGGGGGGACATTGCAACCGAGATCGGTGCCATCCATTACTCAGAAGAGAGCGGGCAGCGATGCGAGTTGTGTCTCAGCCACGCTCTCGCGGTGCTCTCCCACTGCCAACCTTCTCACTGCCGTGGAGTCGGTGCCGACTCCACAGGGCAGGGTAGAACTGCCCCCGCGGGTTTCCGAGACTGGAACTCCTAGTAGGAGTAGAAAGCCCGTCTTTCTCCTGCGACGCAGCTGGTCGTCTTGAATTACTGACCTTGTGGTTAGCAGCCCAATGCTACCCACTACACCACCAGGGCTTCTATTGCCAACCTTAGAGGCTCTAAACTCACTCCACCCAAACTCACTGCCATTGAGCCCATTCTGCCTCAGAGTGACCCTATAGGACAGAAGAAAGGCCCCGAGGGTTTCTGAGCTTGCCAATTTTTATAGGAGTAGAAAGCCTCATCTTTCTCCCACGGAGTAGGCTGGTGTTTTTTGCAGCGGCATAACCCACTATGCCACCAGGGCTCTCAAAAAAACTCTGCCAACAAGTCAGTGCCAACTCATAGTAAGTAAGCAACAGGTTTCCTTCCTTTTTTTTTGAAAATAGACAGCTGACTTCGTGGCTTAGGCGTGGCAAGAACAGCATTTCAAGCCCCCCAGCTACTGAGGGGAAAGGAGGCAGAGATGAGGCTCTTTGCTCCAGGAAAGATTTATCATCTCAAAACCCTGTATAGGGAGGGTGGTAAGAGTCAGAATTGACTGCCTGACTGTGGCTATATATATATTTCATAAATATAAAAAATTTTAAAAAAGAAAAATAGCTACACCACAGTGCATGTAAAGGATAATCTGTATAACCTACTCAATTTGGAAAATAGAATATTCCTGGTATTAGAAAAAAAAGTTAATCTAGTTAACCTAATAGTTGAGAACTTGGACTATGGAGGGAGTTAATTTTGTTGGAATCTTGGTTCTGTTTATATACTAGCTGTGTAAACCTGAACAAAATACTTAATTTTCTCTGCCTCTTTTTTTCCCCCAGCCATAAAGAGATGAGGATTCATGAGTTTAAGATGATTGCATGAGAATGAGAGGCCTGGAACAATGCCAGGCAAATAAAGGTTAGTTTCAGCCTGAAGAGTGATAGATGTAGACAGTTAGAAGCAATTACACAAACAGTGGACACAGAGCAGCAACAGGAACACAAGGGGACCTGGCCGAGCACTGAGCGTCCACTACAGTTATGCGTATGTGGTACGTGGTAGAGTGGGGGTGCCTTCTGACGCCAGCGCGTGTTCCTCTCCTGTGGAACCTCAAAGAGGGGGTGTAGACAACATCTAGAACTCTGTTGAAAGTGGTAACATGATCACATTGTGAATAAGAGCCAGTTGGTCATGTTGCTATAACTGAAGGTGTAGCGTGACCCCTGCAGGTGAGCGGGCCTCTTGAAAATGAGTGGCAGTTGAGCCTAGTGGTTTGAGAACTCGGGCTCTAAAGTTAGACAGACCTGCCTGGGCTAGATCCAAATTCTGTGGCTACCAATGATGCTGACTTGGGGAAAGTTCTTCTACTTTGGGCTGACTCAGTTTCCCAACCTAGACAATGGGAATGGTAATAATAATACTAGATGGATAATAATATATCAGGGCCAGTGAAAAAAAGGAAGACAATCAATGCAATGGATTGACCCAGGGGTTTCAATGCTAGGCTGCCATATAGCAATGATGGTGAAGGTGGCCCCAGTGTGTCCTTCTGTTGGATGCTGAGTCACTGAATCAGAGCTGACTCAACCGCACCCAGCCACAACTACGAACATAAACTGCGGTGGTTCTTATACAAACTTAGTGTAGAATCTCGTGTTCAATGACTGTTATTATGGAAAATGGCAGTTTATCCAGAGAACAGAATGCCCTTCCCAAGGAGGGTGTGTCTGCTCCCTATGGCTGGAATATCCTCACGGCAAGTGAATGGATCTGGCTGTCACCACTTTATCATCATTGCATTTCTATTTTTCCTCCTTGCTTGGTGCTCCATGCTCCTTAGGAATCCTCTCATCATGATACAACTTCTCGCTTAGACTTCCTATCAGGAGGCCTGGTGGCACGGGGGTTTAGCGTTGGGCTGCCGACCACAAGGCCAGCAGCTCAGACCTACCAGCTGTTCCACTGTAGAACGATGAGGCTGTCCGATCCTGTCAAGATCTATAGTCTCAGAGTTCCTCTAGGGTCACTATGAGGCAAAATCAACTTGATGGTTATGGGTATAAGGAGAACAGGGATTGAACGGGAGGAGTCAATGGCCCAGACCCCATAAGGGTTAGTTTTCTGTCATAAGTGAATAAATTGGCAACATGGCTTATCCCACAGTCTTGGTTAGCATCCATATACCTTTAGGCCCCATGTGATGGCTTCTTGGATCTGGACTGATTCTTCGGGGCTCTGATGCCCTAAGTCCCTCTCTTAGTTGCTAGCCCCAAGTCACTGAGGCAGCAGGGTCAGAAGTTGCTGATTGGTGAGCATGGTGACCATGTGGTCTGCCTTTGTTCCCCTTCCTTTTTGGTTAAGGCCTTTTGGAAGATACCCTCCTCTACCAAGGGGATTTGGACTGGTCTAAAATCAAGCAGGCTTCTGAGAGCAGGTCAGGTGTGGGGGTGGTGGGTAGGTTGCCAGTCAGGGAACACACTGGAAGTTCCGCCTGTCTGGGTCAGTTTTCTGGACAGCCAGCCCAGTGAGGCTATGGTGGCTCCAACATTTAGAAGCATATGTTGCCTTTTCCCGGGGTCTGAGGAACATGAGAGGGGGCACTGAAGAGTGGCCAGCTGCCCCTGCATGCCCTGTCCGGGTGATAAACTCTGCTAGATTAGGATTATCCCAGCAACTGATCCTGATCCTCTTAGACAGACAAATGGGGATTAAAGGCAACCTAATCCCAGGAGCTGGGATTCCCCCATGAACCTGCCAAGAGCCATTATCTAGACCCAGTCTCAGGCTCCCAGGAGGACCTGGGAGAAGCCAAAAGATCTTCTAAGATCAAATCCATTGGGCTGTGGATCCACATCTACTCCTCAACCTCCACATTTTCTATAACTTGACCCTGCCCTCATTGGATCTGCTCTCTTGGCACTTAATTCCAGAGCACGATTCTTTGGTTGCTTGGTTGTCGACGGCTTTGAAACCTTTGAGCAATCTACCTTCAGTGGGGTGTGGGCCCTACTATGTGCTGTCGAAGCCACGTGCCAATTAACTGCCTGCTACAGGTCCTCTCCTCCCACCAGAGCATAAGTCCTTGAGGGCAAGGACTCTTGTTCATCATGCAAGTCTGTGAGGGTACGCAATTCACTTGACCCAAATCACTTGGTTTTCATTTTTGATTCCTGGGGGGAACCTTAAACTCTTGGAATTTTCCCCGTGATCGGGTTTATATTAATAAAATGACGTGAATCTTGGGTTAGGGCTGGCCATGCTGGAAAGACCCACTGGGTTATCTCAGGGAAGAGGGCTAGAGGTTGACTCCAGCCACGAATTTAAGCAATCATACCTACGTACTGAATGTCCCAAGGACAAGTCTGGACACTGAAGCTGTGGACCTTCCCGGTTGGTGAGAGACATCCAAGCTTGGGAGAGTGACACATCTCTTGGAACAGGGAAGCTCCACATTGCGGATCTTCTCAGACGTCACTCGACATGTTTACTTTTTATCCCTTTTGCTGTAATAAAACTAATCAAAGTATAACACCATTCTAAATTTTGTCAGTCATTTTTGCAAATTATTTAACCCAAGGAAACCCTACATTTGTAAACAGTAGGTCATAAGTAAAGAAGTTTTAGGGCCCCTACCGCCCAAAACCAAACAAACTTACAATTGATGTCCTGAGTAGTAGGAACCCTGGAATTTCTAGCCAGTGGCTCTCATAAGTGAAGGTATTGTGGGAACCCCCAAGCTTGAGGCTGGTACCTGAAGTCCTAGGCAGACTTGGGTGTGGATGACTGTCCCCTGTAACTTGAGATCTGAGCTTGCTCAGACGAACTACGTGTGCAATTGGTGTCCAGAGGCCATTGAGAGAGAGTGTCAAGAGAAGACAGTCATACACAGACTTTATTGGACCCCAGTATGCAGTACTTAATAGAAGGGACCCGGTCCCTCTGTGTGTCCTCACTTAGCTTTCCCATCACTTGTTAATTCCGCCTTCTATCTCCAGAGGGCCCCCGAGAGTTAAGCGCTAGGTTAGTCTAATAACAACGTTCCCATTATCCTAATGGTAATATTCAAGGAGTACTGCCTTCGGCATTGGGCTGTTAACTGCAAGGTTGGCGATTCAAACCCACTAGTAGCACCTCCCCAGAGAGGTGAGGCTGCCTGCCCACGTCTTGGGCACTCTATTTGAGCTCGCTATGAGTTGGAATCAGCTGGATGGAGGGGGGGGGGGGTATTTGGTTTGGTTTCTTGGTTTGGGGTTGGTGGCACCCCTGAGTCGAGAACATCTCCGGGCACAATAGTGAAGTGCTCAGCCACTAACCAAAAGGTCGTCGGTTCGAACGCACCAGCCACTCTGCAGGAGAAAAGCCCGATGGCCTGTCCCAATGCCAAGGACAGCCTCAGAAACCGCCGGCATCGACTCCTGGGCACACCACCATGACACCACCAGAGTCATCTTAGTTCTATCCTAATATATTTTTTTAATAAATCGTTTTATTGGGGGCTCTGACAGCTCTTATTGTTCTAATGACACCGATCTTTGCCCCATTCTTAGTTTGAGGACACTGTGGCTCAAAGTGTTGAACGGCTGGTCATGACCAAGTGGCTAGGACTATTAGAGCCCAGCTCTTCGGATGACTCAAGTTCAGAGCCTCGTCAGCTGCACTCCAGCTGTTTGAGCTCTTCAGTTCAGCGCACCTTGTCCTGCATGTGAGCAAAGTAGTATCTTCATCTGTATAGGAAACCAAGTGCCTGGCATTCCGACGATCTGTCCTAGTCCACAGCTGGCGGTGGTAGAGCCAGGATCTTAACCCATGCCTCTGTGCTCCAAGGCTCAAGGCTCACGCTCTTCCCTGTATCCCTTGGCTTCACCCTCAGCACGGCCAACAGCGGGTGAATAAAGGGAAGCTGAAAACCAGTACTAACGTAAACCTTTTGCCACCCACTCCCTCTCACCCCCAGGCTGTGGGAACAGTGCCCTGAGCTACGAGCTGTACCTCGGGGGCTTCCCTGATGTGACCAGTGTGGACTACTCGTCTGTAGTGGTGGCCGCCATGAGGGTTCGCTATGCCCACGTGCCCTCGCTGCGCTGGGAGACGATGGATGTACGGGCTCTGGGCTTTCCCAGTGGCTCCTTCAACGTGGTGCTGGAGAAGGGCGTGCTGGATGCCTTGCTGGCTGGGGAGCGGGACCCCTGGACTGTGTCCCCTGAAGCTGCCCACACTGTGGACCAGGTGCTGAGTGAGGTGAGGGAGCAACAAGGAATGACAGACTGACACATGGGAATGAAGGGTTAAGGTGTCAGGACATTGGAAGAACTCAGAAGCCAAAAAGGGGGCATGGTCCAGACCAAGTGGTGGACCCCTCTCAGGAATATAGAATGTCCTGAAGGAAGGAGAGGGTTAATCTGGGTCGGGATTGGAGAGGACTTGAAGGGCTAGGCTCACACTGGCTGATGATTGGCTCCTGGGTTGCTGTAGGGATGAGGTAGCAGCCAGGTACTAGACAGATGACACAAACTAGGAGGATGAGCATTTGCTGGAAAGCAGTGCTCCCTGAACCCCAGTCACAAATGTGCTCCTAGATGCCTAGAATAGAGACTCCACGAATGGACAGGGGACGGGCAGGGCTCAGTCCATTCCCATGGGGAGCCCAGAGCTACCTAGATACAGGACAGTACCCCAAGTTTGCCTCAGTGAGCACCTGGGCAGATACTGACCTTTGAGAACCTGGAGGGGGTCTCTTCACTGAGGGCGTCTTTGTTTCCCTTGCAGGTGAGCCGAGTGCTGGTTCCTGGGGGCCGGTTCATCTCCCTGACCTCTGCGGCTCCCCACTTTCGGAGTAGGCACTATGCCCAAACTGGTTATGGCTGGTCCCTGAGGCACGCAACCTACGGCAGCGGTTTCCACTTCCACCTCTACTTTATGCACAAGGGTGGGGAGCTAAGTGTGGCTCAGATGGCCCTGGGAGCCAAGCTCCTCGCACCCACTAGCCCTGCAACCTCACCCTGCTTCCTGCAGGACTCAGCTCATGAGGACTTCCTCAGTGCCATTCAGCTGTGAGCCCTGAGCCATCATGCTCCCACCCTCGGCCTTCTTGCCCCGGGCTCCTCAGGGAGTGGAACATCCTGACCTCGGGACCTGGGGTAGGGTCCAAGGTGTTCACAGCTCAAGGGCCTCATGCCTAAGAGAAGAGTTACTGCAAGATAGCCCATGTGAACCAATACATCTCAGGTCAGGTTCGATCTCAGATCCCAGGCGCCTGGCTTTCTTCTTGGGCTCCTCGGGGTTCTCACAGGTTCCCCAAAGCCATTCTTTAAACATTTGCACTCAGTGCAAAAATTTGCCCTTACGACAAAGCTTAGCACAGCTCCTCGGCTCACCAGCTCGGAGACCTACGTCCCTGGGGCCAGTTACTCGCCCCATCCGATTGTCATTTCTCCACCAGAGGCTGCAGGCTTTTCATCTAGACAGCTCTGTGCTGTTGTCCTAGAGCCAGCTCTAGTGCGTCTGTTCTGCTTCGGCCTGCTTTGGCAACCCTTTCCAGCCACCGACACGCACCGAATTTCTCAATACCTGTTCCCTCATCCAAAGAGGACTCGGAGTCATTTTTGTTCAGCTCCTGAGCAGACAGAAACAGTTGCCACACACACACATCACACACACAGGGAGGTCTGTGTTTATTCACACACTCCTGATACAGTGAGGGTGGAGGAACATTTACAGAGGACACCCCTGGGTTGAGAACATCTCCGGGGCCATGTGTCATTCAAAGGTGCAGAGCAGTCCCCATTTGGGTATCCAGGGGCAGGACGGACCCAGGGGTCCAAGGTAAAATCAGGTTCTGGGCCCATGGAAGGTGACACCTTGCAGGAAGAGGAGTCTGCCAGAGAGCCGTCGCGGGGTCAGGCCTGGGCAGACTGGCCATGTGGTTGGTTACCATGTTGGGGGCTTGTACCACCCCAGCCTCAACACCCGTCCCACCCGCCAGGCGCGGCTGAGACCGTGGGGGGGGGAGGGCATGAACCATGAGTGGAACCAGTAAACAAAGAATCGGATATAAAAATACAAATGTGCTGAGGAAGTCCCTTAGAAAGAGGCTGAGGATGGGGGTCACGCCAGACAGGGGAAGGGTGAGGAGCGGCCTGGAGGGCTGGGCTCACAGAGGTGGGAAGCTCATGCAAAGACGCAGCCAAACATCCCTGGCCGCGTGCGGTCCGGTCCGACACGCCGGCCAGTCGGTCGCCTTGTTCTGCAGACCCGAGTGGCCGGAGGGGGCGGGGCAGGGGTGCCGTGCGGGAGGGGGCGGGCCAGGGGCTCGGGGCCGCGGGTCTCCGTGTCCGTTCCGGTGTGCAGGGTGGGGCTGCGGCCCGAGGTTCTAAAGTGCATGAGCGCGGCGGCGGCGGGCTCCGGGCCCGCGCGCACCGCAGCTACAGCCGCCGCCGTGGTGCTGAAGCGGACAGCTCCGGAGTGCCTAGCGGCAGCAACACTGACCCAACGCGGCCCCGCAGCCCCCGCCCGCGGGCGCCTGGGCCGGGGAGGGTGTCGCCGGCAGCCGCATCACCGGCCCGCGCTCCTGGCCGCTGCGCGGCTGGGCCCGGAGCCCGCCGCCCGAGCCGGTGCGTCTACACTCCGGACGGTGGCTTCTCCCCCATCCCCTTCAGCACGTCGTCTATCCGGTCATCCTCGATCACCACTGCGCAAGGAGAAAGCGCGTCAGCCGCGTGGCCTCGAGGGGCAGCGGCAACAGTGGGCCCTCCGTCTTCGCACCCCACACGGCTCCTACTGGTGGCCCTGAGCGCCCCTTGGACCCCCACGCCACCGAATGCCCTCCCCACGCCACTTTCCTGCCAACTCAACCCACTGCCAAGCCTGGCCCCTGCAGACCCTCTCCTCTCCCAATGACGGAACGTTCCTCTTCCAAAGGCTCCCGCCATTCAACCTCCCGGTCCAAATCTTTCTGCCGCCTGAACCCTCCTCCGTCTGAGCTCAATAAAACCTTTGGCTCGTGAGACCCCCCTCCCTTCAACCCTCATTTCAAGAGAACGCCCCT